TCCCTTCTAAAAGGGTTAAATGAATAAACTTTTTTCTCAAAGTAATGATAAACCTGTGAGTTGGATGTAGAAGAGTCAGAATCAATACAGATGTTTTTTTATTTTAAAGAACATTCAGATTGAACATAGTAAAAAACTGTAAATTATAGTGTAATTATTTTTTACTTATTGTGAAAACTACCCTCGGATGATGGTAAGGTAGACTAAAAGCTTTAGGAATCCAAAGTACAACATATAATAAGTCAAGTGTATCAAGATTGATGCAAAACAAGTGATATTTGAACTTTTTAGACAGATTTAGCAAAAGAAACCTCTTCTGGGGCCATTTGGGTGGATTTTCCTTATCTCTGGCCCCCGTTCTCTCTGATATTTTAAAACGGAATTGCAGTTTTATTGCTTATAGATTATCAGAACATTTCAAAGGGGACACAGACACATTGGATATTAACCTATGGATTAACTACAGCATCGTTGTTATCGTTTTAATGCCATTGAAGCCCAATTTTGACCAGACAAAACCAAGGTAAGCCATGTTAGCGTTGTAGGCTACCTATCGCCACATGTTTTGATGTAAGTTTTTGTTGATAACGTCGCGAGTTTGTATCTTTCAGTGTTGAGGTGGGCACCGTTAGATTCTGTGTCTTTACTGATCATAAACTATGTGTTGGATGTGCAGCTAGGATAAGTAATAAGGGAGCTAGGAGTGATTTTCGGTGCAGTAATAGGTTAGCATTTTTCGCTCGGGGCTAATTCAGAGGCTCACTTTTAGCATTGTGTGTTTTTTTTTAAAAGAAAATGAAAAAGATCAGTTAAATGAGTTTTTTCCCGTTATATGGATATAAAATATTCATAGTTTATTAAATATTAAGGTTCCTTAGATGTTGTTTCCTGCAAAATGACGCGATTTCAGCCCCGGAACCGGGTCCGTGGGGCTTAGAAAATATTCACCCAAGACAGTTATTTGCAGGAGGAGAACTTCACCGATGTCTTTCTAAAACAACTCAACATCTTGTGGCTGCATTGTATTGTGGTCTATTGAGAAATAATGTTAAATGTAAGGTTATAGTGTCAAAAGGACATCATTGGTCCTGCCCTTCTGCTGACTACGCTGCCATCAGTTTATCATTTCATTTTTTAACAAAAGAATAATTTATCAGAAAAAGCTTTAACTATTTTTCTTTAAATATCTAAAACAATAAATATATACAAATATATTATTATAACTTGTATTTTATCTTGCATACATTCAGATATAAATGTTATTTGATAACCTCAATATAATGCAAGACAATTCTGGTGGAGAATACTAAAAAGCTTTTACCTGATTTAAGTTGCAATTTTTTGCCAAAAAACAGTTATTTAACAAATGTATTATTACATTATGTTATTTATATTATGTTAGTAAATTACATTTTTTACACTATAGTTAATCATGTAAATTATTTGCAAAACAAATGTCAAACCATATCTATGTGTATTTGAATGTATTGTATTTGAGTTAACACGATTTTTTTTCCCCCAGTGTTTGTGGCTGAACAAACCTTGCCTTTTAAATATTCAACTTTAACTTTAAAATAAAAAAAATACCAAATGGATTATCTTCACAGTGTTTGTCAGTATTTGAGGGTGAATGTTTCCTTTAACAGTCCCCTCTCTCACAGGACTGTGTGCCACTAACCCTGGTCAAGTCCTCGTTGCAGTCCTCTCTGGAGGAGCTCACTGAGTGTCCGGTGAGGGTGGTGCGGTGCTGCAGCTGGGGGGAGAGGAGCTGCAGGCTGCTGGCACGTGTTGGTATCGCCTGCCCGGGTGTAGGCAAGACCGCCAACCCCCCCTCCATAGGGTGTGGTCGGTGGCGCTCCCTCCTCACATACATGGAGTGGCGCTGAGGCCGCTGCTGGGAGGAGAAGGGCGAGGTGTAGCCCAGGCCGTAGTGATAAGACTCGTGTGGGGAAGGCAGGGTGTGAGTGGAGGGCATCCCTGCTCCTCCGGGGTCCAAGAGATCTGGAGCACCGGCCTCCTCTGGACGAGCAAAAACATCCTTAGAGCTACATATTCATTTTTTATTAAACAATCACTTAGTTTGATCACATTTTCTGTCAACTCTGTGAAAAAATGGCCATAACATGATAGCTATCTTACATTTCTTTGAAGATATCTCAAAAGCAATTTCATTTATTAAATTATTATTTATTTATTTATTTTTTTAACTTGCTTGAACGGCAAATCAATGGTTGAAAATATGTTTACCACTACAAGTCGAAGTTTTCATTTAGTTTTTATTTAAGTGTCAGACACTTAAGTGAATGTAACGAATACACAATCAAATAATATATGTAATCTTTCTCTTTTATTAAAATTACATTTTCAGGTAGATAATTAAGTGGTTGTGTACTATAGTTGACACTGTTGACCCTCCTCAAAGTACAGAAATCAATTTTGTCTTAAAGTATGGTTCCCAGCTAAAAACTCCTCTTTTAAAAGTTACATTTGTCTGAGAGTTTTTAGAACTGTCTCGGCTGAAAGTGACAGAACAATGACATAAAGCATCTTAGAGTTTTCTGTACAGACTGTGGTTGTCAAAGGTGACGTGAATAATATAAGCCGCTGTCTGGCTTTTTGCTTTTGTAATTTTTCAGTTTTTGTTGGGTGAGGTTGGTTTTGGAGATCAAGTGTTTGAGGCAGGGCAGGAATTTCACGAGGGCCTCGTGCCCTCCCACTTTGGCTTTGTGCCCTTAAAAATGATATCTGCCATAAGGCCACAGTGGCCTTGATGCCCTCTCTGACTAAGTTTTGTGGTTTAGCAGTCTGCCTCTTTTCTGACACGGCTTCAACACCAGCATATTTTGAAGGAGTAAAAAAAAATCAGCGGTGCGCTTGATTCGAGCCTGGAATGCACCGCTCGGACGGTCTATGACAGGGGTGGGGAACCTCCGGCCTCCGGGCCGTATACGGCCCGCGAGACCATTTGGTACGGCCCTCGAGGTAATTTATAAACACACGCAAAAAAGAAAAAAATTCAAGAAATCTAGACCGCAAAATAATTAAACAAGCTTGTTTTTCCTGGCCAAGGTCAGGGTCCTTGAACACAACACAAGCCTAACGTGTCATCACGTGGTATATGTCTCGTCTGACAGGAGTGTAGTTCTAACGGAGAGCACCAGAACGCGGCTCCGGACCGGGACTTCACAAATTGCAATACCCATAAGGAGCTGTACACATGCCGCAGTTTTTGCGTGGCTGTGTCTTTAGTTGAAAGCCCAGTTGCGATCTGTTCATCTGTCATACTGATCATACAGTCAATAACGTTGTTGTTATTAGCATCTCGTTAGCTAGCTATGCTAACGAATATAAGAAGCTTTTTCTCCAACCAGTGAGGTAAAGGCACATCTTTATATGATCATTATAGTTATAGAAAAATAAGAGAATAAAGTAAACAGGTATACAATACTAATATGACAGTAAAAAAAAGTTGTTATTAATAAACAAGAATACAGTTTAAAAGGGAAGTGATTTGTAAAATATCCATAAAGAAAGAAATATGCTTACAGTTCTGTTTCATATGGGTGTTGAGAGATGTATCCATAGATCTCTTCATGTTGCTCTCAAAGTGCACCAGATTGATGCTTTTAACTTCAACATTTAAAAAAAATCTTCCTGGTGGTGCATGCCCCCAAACCCCCCGAGATGAGGTTAGATCCGTTTTTCATTTGTCCAGCTTTAAGTGTAATTTTATGGATAACATTACTATTTCTTGCTCGTATGGTAATGCATAATTATAATATTTTGAAGTGTTTTTGTTACTACTTGGATAAGTTATGTTGCAGTTGTGTTCTTTTTTTATTATTATCTAGTGCTAGGCAGTTAGCGCTGTGTTGTTAGCTGTCAAAGACCTCTGTGCAGACTTATTTGACCACCGGCGATCGCAGACGGAAGTTCAAAGTTTGCTGCTCGTTTATATCGCCCAATTTTCAAAACGCGATCAAAAGTCCAAATCTCCCTGACTCGTCATCATCTCCATCTTCAAGTGACTCAGAATAAGGACGCACCTTGACGTAGGCCCACTACCACAGTCTCACAGTGAGCCAAACATGTCTGTGCTATAAGAATCCTTTGTAGTTTTAATAAAGAATTTGTTTAATTGCAATTTGGTGTCCATTGAATGCTTAATAAATATATATAAAAGTATTGTAAATGCATATACAAACGTAGTCACTTCATATCGTATGTTAAATCATTGTTTTAATGTATGGCCTTGGTGCCCTGGCTTTTGGCCTTTGTGCCCTTAAAAAATTGACAACTCAAAAGGCCAAGTGGCCTTGCCCCTAAAATGACGAAATTCCAGGCCTGGTTTGAGGCAATAGATATAAATAATTTTAAAGACCTTGAATATTATTAGAAAAAAGGCATATTTCCATTCTTAATTCAGTGGCCAATGACTCTCAGACCTACCTGGTGCTAAAGTTTTATGTCTGGATTTGTGTCTGGATGAGGAGTCCAGTGTGCTGCTCTCCATGCGGACGTTGCCGCTGCTACGAGAGGCGGGGCTGTGCCCAGACCTATCAGTGTGCCGAGCAGAGGGGCTGCCGGGGGGCCCCTGGGGACCTGGAGGAGCGTTGAGGTCTAAACAGCTGGCGGGGAAGAAGCGGGCCCCAGGGCCTGCCCCTGCTGTTGTGTTGGAGTTTGGGTCATCTAGGTGGAGCCGCCCGTCGCTGAGGTTCCCGACAGATTTGGCATCACTCAGTGCGCTGTGGCTCTTGGACAGGCTGAGATAGGATGCTGAACTCTTCGAAGAGGAGGACATGGAGCCATGGGAGGATTCTGCCATGCTGTGGGCGGCATGTCGGCCATGTTGCTTCTCTGATCCAGACTGCAGTGTGTTGTTCTTCCCTTCCAGGAAGGTATGGCGACCGACCTGCTGCTGCTGCTGCAACTGCTGCTGTTGCAACTGCTGCTGCTGCAACTGCTGCTGCTGCAATTGCTGCTGCTGCAATTGCTGCTGCTGCAATTGCTGCTGCTGCAACTGCTGCTGCTGCTGCTGTTGTTGTAGTAGTTGTTGTTGTTGTTGTAGTTGTTGTTGTTGCTGCTGCTGTTGTTGTTGTAGTTGTTGTTGCTGCTGCTGCTGCTGCTGCTGCTGCTGCTGTTGTTGCTGCTGCTGCTGCTGCTGCTGAGAGCGAGAGGAGCTGGGTTTGCTGTGGCCATACTTGGCCCCGTGGTCAAGCAGCTTTGTCGAGGGTCCCAAATTGAAATCAAACTCAGTCTTGCCTTTGGCTTCTTTGGGACTGAGCAGCGGGGGCAGGTTGTTGTTAGCCAGGTCTTTGTTGGAGGAGGCAGAGCGATTGAGGGTCTGGGACATGTACTGGGCCTTGGGGTGCAGCGTTGGGCTCAAACTGGACGGGGCAGGTTTGTTCCCGTTGAGGAAACTCTTGTTGCCGAGGTGATGGAGGTCCCCATGGCGAGGGAGGCTGGAACATTCTTTAGCGTTGGAGCGACGGCTCGTGCTCTTAGTGTGACTCCTGGATGGACAGACATCACTGGCATTATACTTGAGATACATCATAAAGTCCTAATCTGTGTGCATGTTGCATTGTATCAGAACTTATTCCAACTTTCCTATAACCGATTAAACTATTCAGTCTTTCTAGGAAAAGTCTCTTAAGGGCCATCTTCCCTCAACACGCAATGCTCAAGAAGCAATGATTGCAGCCATTAGAGTAAATTGCTACTATTTTATTACTTCAATAATAAAGAAAACTGGCCTAAAAAGATTGAACAAAAACTTTGAGCTGCATCAAGTAACACTTAAAAATCATTACGTTTTAGAAAAATCCTGATGGTATATCATCTAAACTTTAAGTGTGTGCTGCACGTATTCAGAGCATCGAGTTTATGATAATGATGCCTCTGTACCTGGTAAATTGCCAATTGAGGGGTACGAAAGGTTATACTCTTTTCAAGTATAGTACAAAACTATATTTTCTAAAGGAAGTAAGTCTGCAACAGATTTTCCCTCACATGGAAAATATTTTCCTGCATGCATGGATGGTATATACTGTTGTCTAGTTGATCATAGTTGATGCAAGAAACGCAAGCCCCACAGGAAAACATTTGTAATCTCTGTGACTTTCACTCGCTTTAAACTGTTAAAGCTACAGCTCTCTATAGATACCCCTGTTGAAAAAGGGTCACAGTTTGGATTTGTGAAATTATGACATATCCTGTGATGTGATAGAAGGTTTCCAATCTAGAGTTTCCAACCTATCAACCTATCTAAGTTAAATAATTATGACAAAATAAAGAGGTGTTGGCGAGAGGTACAGATAAAGGAGTCCTACCTTGTGGGAACTGTGTTCTCTCCGTGATGGTGTGTTTTCCTCTTGGAAGAGCGCGGTGGGTTGGGCGAGGCAGGAGGAGGCCTCTCTCTCTCCGCCTGCCTCAGAGGCTGGAAGGCTGGATGGTTCAGACTCTGCTCCGTCAGGTAACGCTCAGTAGGATTCAACAGCAACAGGCTCTGATGGGAAAACATGTTAAGTGATTAAATATTGATTATTGACAGGATATTAAGTTGATTGAATTATATTAGTCAAGACAACATGTCCATGTATTCTCCATGATATGGATTTAGAGTTTCAGATGTAATACCTTCATCAGATCCAACATCAAACCACTCAAGATGCCTTGGTACCTTCTTTCCAAAGTCTGAGGATGAGTAACTGAGGGAAACTGGCACACAGACAAACAGTGGATCAAATTTGTATCGAAATTAGACTTTTTGACGTATAGAAAAGAGAATGAGAGATTTCTAACATGGTAGATGCTCCTGCCAGTAAAAACCTTAATTCTGACATAAATCCATCACTAGGTCACTCTCAACCACGCACACACACACACACACACACACACACACACACACACACACACACACACACACACACACACACACACACACACACACACACACACAAAGTTTGGTTCGGCCTTCTGGGACATTTTCTCTTGCTGCTAAACTAAACACCAACCACCTAGCTCATGAGTCATAGCAATCCACTCAGTCATGGTGCTGGGAACACTGCCATGAGAGAGAGGGAGAGAGAGGGAAATATAGGCAGAGAGAGGGAGCTGAAAGGGAGGACAAATCTGGTGGTAGGAGGGGTAAGAAGACGAAGACTGTAAAAAGTGTAAAAGAGAATTTGTCCTACTCTGATTCCATGAAAGCGAGGGTTGTTGTAGAAGAGTTTCATCTGCTCTGCAGGAAGCGACCCCAAAACCTTCTGAATGGTGAAGAGCTGGAGATAAGTGATTAAGTGAAGACATTAAGAGGTGAGAATGGCTGTTTGCAAGGTCAACAATGATGAAGTGTCAATCTAATTGTTAAACCAAAGGAGGACAAGAAGTACATAAGGTCCTCAAGCAAGGAATTTGGACAAATCTATAGTAAATCTGTATATCTGCTGACGAAGAAAATAGGAAATGAGTAAACAGCTACTAAGGTGATTTTCTTTGACAGCTTTATGGATATTGAAGATGTCAAGAGTTGCTTGTCTAGCAGATGCAGAGTAACAATTGCATTAATTTGAGTTTGTGTGCTCATTATAATCAAAGGCCAATATTCACTCTCCTTTTAGCTCTAAAATTCATTATTATTTTCACTAGCTCTGGTTGTGAACTTTATGTGTCTGTTGTTTGGAAGTGTGCAGTTCCTTTAAAGAGTTTTTTTTAAATTAAACCAAAACCATTAAGTCCTGATATATATCAAAATTATATCAGATGCAAACAATGTGTAAAATAAACATGAAACACTTTTTTGTCCAGGTTTTGGGTCCAACACTATCCAACACTATCATAGCTTTTTAATGTCTGCTTTATTTTTATAGCAGAAAAAATGTCAAGTCAAAGCGGCTCTTCGCCAGGCACAGATTATAGTTGCCATGAAAACATTATTATTATTTTTGATGAACTGACTAATGGACCTTTTTGTTTCATTGCCTACCTGATCCATCTCACTTTCCCCTGGAAACAGAGGCTGTCCGTCACTCAGCTCCCCGAGGATACACCCCACCGACCACATGTCCACCGCCTTCCCATAGGGAGCCCTGGGAAGAGAGAGTAACAACATATCACTTAGAGATGATTATAAGAATGATGAGAAGAGGATAATGTTATTTTTTGGGATGGTGGTGCAGTAAAACAAAAGGATGGATGCTGAGTTCCTGCTGGTCATAAAGACGATGGGCATTTCTAAAGGAACGGAGCTGAGGAGTCTGGTGAGAAATGGCGAGAGATCTGGCAGCAGAAAAGCAGAGGAGCGGTGGTGTTGGAGGGAGAGAGTATTTGAGTGGGCGGCATTCAAACGCTGTCTCAATAAATGTTCCAGGGCATTTACTAAATCAGGCTACAGCAGTGAAGCTACATGACATTCAGCTGTTATAAGCGAGAATGGACATTCAATGCAGCAAAAAACCGCATAAACTGCGAAAATCCGAAACGTAGTCTCAGGATACAGTGTGCACGATGGTTCGTGTCATATTATTGAAGCAGGTGAATCATCGTCTCTTTTGGGGAAAAGAGAAACACCTGTTTCATCTATGATGTGATGAAAAGGGTGAATATGGAAGTTACGCAACGTTATTCATTGAATTGAACCTTGTGCAAAGAAATACATACATATAATACAACAAAATGAAACAATTAAATATTATAATGCTTCCCAGCTGGCTGCTGTTTTAGAATATGAATAAATTGGCAGCTGCTGTCGTAATTATAAAAAATGTTAAGTCATTATTTTTCAAATTTGGTGAATTTTTAGATAAATAAAAGTATTGACTGTCCCTCTATAGATTGAGAACATTCACTACTTCTTAAGACATATGAACACTCAACTATAAGGCTGAAAATAAGGTTGTTTTTGCAGCTCATGAAAGCTGATGAGTTTGAGAGGCGTGATTTGACAAGACTGTGACAATATGTTAGATGTGACCGGACACATCTAGGAAGCCTTACAGAAGGTAAGGTGACGTATTAGGAATGACAACTAAGAGCAGAGTAGTCGTTTTCATGCATGTTCTGCTGCTACTAATTTCTCTGGGGACCTTCTGTAATCCTCTCATGGACACCTGGAGAACGGCTGAGGTTTTACTGGTAGTATATTTGTGTGTGTCAAACACCACTATCTCATACGTATGAATGAATATGCGCTGCCAGATCCTTTAAAGCTCATAGACACATTTGGGATCTTTGGTCCCAGTTTTTTAATGGTTGCTTTATTTTAGTCACTTAGTGTTATCATTATGAAATGCAGTGATTTCTTTATATCTCTTAGAGTTGTAATGCCATGGCAATAATTAGCCTCATGTAACCTTAAAGGAAACATATTCAAATCACTTCTTTGCAGTACGCTTGAAAGATTGGGATTTCAGGAAAATGAGAGCACTGGTGTCGGAAAGGTATCCTGTATCTTGAATTAGGTTATTGGAAACACTATCAGGAAAGAAAGTGATAGATCAAAGTGACACTGTCTGACACAATCTTCTATAAAAGCTGGTAGAGAATTAAAGAAATGCTGAGAATGACTTGCGCGAGCCAACAGAATGAGGTCACTTTCTCTTTCTCCTTGATTTTCATGTTGCACGCACACACGCACAAACACATACACACACACAAGCACACTCACCCCAGCAGCAGCTCAGGAGAGCGGTACCACCTTGTAGCCACATACTCAGTGTAATTGGCATCTGTTCCTTCAGACAGGTTACGAGCGAAACCTGAGCCAGAGAAATATGGAGATGAATCAATCTCATAGATACTGACACTATGTTTTAGACATTCAGCACTGTGTGAAACATATAAATGGCTAATTAGTAAGAGTAAAGTGTAATCAACACTCTTGGACGGCGATAGTAACAACATGGCCATCATCCCATGTGACCAGACTCTAATTAGTTATGTCACTGCAGGAGGGCGGAGACCGTGGTGCGGCTGTACAAAACTCCAATTTAAGCATGAAACATCACAATAAGCAGAATGCCAGCTCTAACAGTGAATAACAAACAATTCTCACCCCAGCTGAGTCAGTAGGATTGCATTAGATAAAAGTATGCAAAGCTGAGTGACTGATTTTGAAAATAGGCACAGAAATTCACCTGGGAAACTCGAATATTACAAAGCAATGCTCTAACTATACGGTTAGTATTTTACAGGGGAAACAGAAGCCTAACCTTCACTGGACTTTCTTTAGATATTAGTATGGCAGTTTGATTGTGCAAAAAAAAACACCTTAGTACGTTTGACACAGCCAGTTGGCTGCTTTCCAGTGGCAGAATTGATTTTTTTACTACTTGCAAGGGGACAAATTAATGGTGGGATATTTCACAGAGACGTGAGGCCAAAGAAAACAAACTGCCAAGGTTAAAAACAAAGATATAAATTAAAAAAATCGCAGATAATGTGAAAACATCATAATGAACCTTTATGTACAGCAGGATGTCTAATAAATCACTGTTAATAGCTGATTCCCTCTGTTGAACCAATGCAATTAGATCTATTTGACAAGTAAACGTGTAAAACACTGCACTGGTTTTACTGCAGTGCCCATGTCAATCTCAACAGCTCGACGTGATAATATGGCAGCTGTAAGGAGAAGACCAACGACTCACCAAAGTCACAGAGTTTGAGAACATCCTCGGAGCTAATGAGGAGGTTCTCCGGCTTGATATCTGTATTAGAGACGTAGAAAAACAACTTTTAGCAACATGTTTCAGTGATAGAATTGCAATTGTAACACAATCCCAATATAAGCCAATTACCCTGTATTTAAAGTGAGCTAAAACAACCTGTTTTACTTAAGATGATTGCGATTTTCAGTCTAAACACCAGGTGACACTAACGTTGAGACATTGATGTAGAAATAAAGATGCACTCCTCACCTCTGTGGACTATATCATTGGTGTGACACCAGTTGATGGCTTTGATGAGCTGGTAGATGTAGCTGCGGACTTTATCAGGCGGTGCACCGTTGGGCAGCTCCTCTAAAAGCTCCAGCATGTTCTGCAAACCAGAGAAGAGAGAGGATGTGTAGCTGCAGGTTGAGTTTGCTGAATATGTGTTCTTAAAATATGAATGTTGCTGAACTTTGTCCTGGATTATTCCTACAGGGCGGATTGGACTCCCTGATCTCACTTTTCCTTTAAACCCTGAGGAGTCAGAGGGGACACCATGCTAGAATTACTTGAGTACAGTATGAAAATAAAAACCTGTCATGAAATAAACTCTTGGCTGGATACCCTGGCAACACAGTGGGGAATACCATTATTCACCAACAGCATAGTTCATATGTTGCCATGGTGATGCTGTTTTTATGCTTAACTGAGCAGTCTCAACATGCTGAAACTAGATGCAGCAGAGTGGAGATAAGCAATCAGTGAGGGCATAGCATGAAATAATAATGATAGTGTCAGGCTGACCCTCTCCACATATTCAAAGACCAGGTAGAGTTTCCCCCTCCTGCGAAAAGCCTCCTTCAGCTCCACGATGTTGTCCTGCTTCAGGGTCCGGAGCATCTTCAGCTCCCGAAGCGTCGTCTCCTTGACCTCCTCATTTTCTGTGCGGAAATTAAAAAGACTGACTTAAATTGCTTACTTTTTTTTATCCCTCCATTTCTCCCTGCCTCGCTCCTTCACTCACCTTCGCTGTCTTTGAATTTTTTAATGGCCACCAGCTCATTGGTTTCCTGTGAAGACATCAGGATGTGAGTTTTGTTCAATCGAAAGGAAAAAAAAAGGCATTGAATTAACCCTCCTGTTGTGTTCGGGTCAAATCTGACCGATTTACTACTTTCATCAATCATAACTTTTTTGTTTTACATTCGATTGCATTAAGGCTTTATGATATCCTTCACAGTAGACATTTGAATATATACATTTGCTGATCACCACTTTCATTGAATTTTGGATGGCTTGGATCAAACCTGGCACACGCAATACATGTTCAGTGTCTATTCTTTGTATATTCACTGCAGTTTTTCATGTATAGCTGTAGTCTGATACAATATTTACAGTTTGAAAGGGCATTAAATGAAATTTGGTGATGATTAATGATTTTTGTGTTAATGTAATAGCAGTTAAAACAGGATCGGTCAAATTTGACTACGAACACCAAAGTAAGGGGGGAAAAACAAACACAACAGGAGGGTTAAAAAATGCTCAGTGATTTTCTGAGATATAATGACAGATACAAAGATACATGCAACATTCAAATAAGATGTCAGACATAGAAAGTATTTGTCGAGGGATTGGTGAAAAAGACGTAAAAGAGAAAAGCTAAAGAAATTCAAATGAATTTCCTGGCCTCTCAATAAAAAAAGGAAGCCCAAGTTTCAGGCATTGCCAAGTCAAGAGCCATGCTGTGTGCTCTCTTTTTAATTATTGTGCCACAGGGCAATCCCACACAAGAAACAGCACACCCTGGCATAGTTAATGTGCATCGTAGGTTTCCTTCAGCTCCTTGCTGGTAGCTTGAGTGACTTTGCTGAATTTTACAAGCTGCTGTGGATGCAGATACAGAGATTTAGCCGTATTTTGTTTCAAAGGCTGTGCTGCAGCTTCACACATCAAGTCTATTGTCCGGCTTTACTGGAAAACAATACAACTGTAGGTTCCGCTGCAGGTTTCCACATATCAGGTTGATTATTTGTGGGATAAAAAAAACATAAATTAGGTATGTTCTTGCAAATAGGACACTCATAGGGTAATTGCACATGTCTTCAAATCCTCTTCAGGTTTTAATAGATGCTTTTCTACTGGCTCTGTCTATGCTTGGGCAAAATACAATGAACACAGCCAGATATAAATCATGCTTTCATGATTACCCCGCTGTATTGTGTTTAAGACCATATTACATTATATTATATTACATGTTACTTGTTAGACGCTTTTATCCAAAGCAACTTACATACTCAATACTGTGGGCAATCCCCACAGGAGCAATTTGGGGAGAAGTGTCTTGCCCAGGGACACAACGACATGCTGACTGCAGTGGAGTTTGAACCTGTGACCCCCTGATCCGAACACCAACGCACCACCAACTGCACCACACTCCTCCATGAGAAGCTCCTGCAAAGGGGAATTATTTCCCACAATAAAGCAATCTATGTGATAGAGCTACCTCTTGACACTGCAGTGAGCATTTCCGTGCCTTATCTCAGAGTACATAAAGTAACTTCATTTGGTCCCAAGTATGCTGGAGGACTAACATTAAAGGTAGGGTAGGTAAGAATGGATAAACCAACTTGAAAAAAAAAACTATCTGCCCCTTCCTTCAGACTTCCTTACAGAGCCCCTCCTCCAACACACACGAACGTGACCAATGAGGGCACGAGATAAGTTTGTGCACAGATGGAAGGCTGACAGGCAGGTAGGCCATCTTTTACAGCGCTACGGCTTCCACAGATGAAATTGTTGTATGTATTTATTGTCAAAGCATTTAATGTATTCATTGCTATCGGGATGTTAAGAGCATTCCATGAAATATAACAAAAAGTGTTTCTATAGTGAATTACCTACCCTACCTTTAAATCACCAAATTGTCTCTGATGATTTGTTTCAGTATGCTCCAGTGAAACCTGATAAAGCTTCTCCTTCCTAACATAGAGTAGCAGTTTGGTCTGGCGATGATTTTCCTTAGAAAGTGTTGAGAAATAACTATCTGGATTTAGGTAAAATTACTCAGAGGTTATATGGTTTGTATTTTAATGAACAATGACTATTGTAAGGCTGTAGATTAACTTTGATACATGAGAGGTGAGACTGAAGTCCTTAGATGCACACACAGACACAAGTCAAGCAGGTATTCACAGGTGAGCAAGATTATATACGTAAATATATTTTTTTTATTAAAAGATAATGCCCTTGATGGAATTTATATAGCTTGAAACAATACATAACACAAACTGTTTGCTTCAGTGGAAGTATGAAAGATGTAATTTTAAAATATTCTTTAAATACGATTTTTTGCATTAAAGAGTTTGTCCTTTGGTCACACTAAAAACAGAAAAAAGTTAAAGACTGAAATTATATTTAAAAAGAATGTCAAATGATTTGAAAGGGCGCAACATAACTGAGTAACCTCATTATTTAATCCTAATGTTAGACCCTGAGGAGATGTTGACAACAGCAGTCCAGAGGGAATTACAGCATCAGGCCAGTGTCCTCTGTCCTCTGATACTCTCATGTTTATCTATTGTCCTTTTGTCTAAAGAGGGTCAGAGAGACAGTCCGCCTCAGTGTCGAAAACAGGACCACGTGGTTAGGAACAGAAAACAAAATCAAATAGCATGGGGCAAGAGCTCTTATTTACAATTAATTATAAGTAGAGCTTCAGTTTCCAGTGAAAGAAAGTACATCCGTGATTTCATTGTAATGTTCTTCTTTGTCTTCAATGATGAGGCAAACTCAGAAACACAGATAGCATGTTACACACGCTCTGTGGCAGCACCCTGTAATTTGCTGATGATGCTTGTGGCTCTGACCTCCACTGATTTACCTTTTTTGAGCCACTGTAAAGTCAGCATATCTAAAAATAACCTCTTGCTAATTTTCTGCTGAGGACATGAACAGCCACTGATTGTCACATTCAACAAAAGAGCTATAGCTTTCACATCAGCAATGAAGGTTTATCATAGAATGGCAGGATGTGTGCAATAATCAGGCTACCATAATCTGTGCCACAGAGGAGGTGATGTTAGTGCTCTTATCTTTCATATTAATACATGTCTGTTATATAGAGGTCAGCATAATTATGCTAAATGGGAAAAATACACCACACTTATATCCCATCTCTACCTGAAAGCACGTAGCAATTGGCCTGTCATCTATTTGCAGTGCTGTATTTTACTCATCTCAGCACCACCCCCCCCCCCATCCTGAAAACTCCATATTTTGATTGTCCTTATCTCCTTTCTTTTTGCCCTTTTATTCAATTACATTTGCTTTCTGACACAGGTCCATATCTATTTACACATTTAGTTTTCTTTTATTTCTTGTCTTTATTTGCCTCCTAAATACTATTTCCATTAACTTCTCAATGTTTACTGATATTGGGATAGGTACCGTGCCGCTGAACTTGTGCTCTTCAACATGTAGAGTAAAGTAATCTTAAACTGTGACAAAACCTTATATTAAACAAAAGCAACGTTTATTCTCATCCAGACTGATATCTTACATCAACAATCTTTTTATCGTAACCCAGTTCCTTTTATAAATATATAAAATGTCAATCAAAAGTAACTAGAGCCCAGGCACTTACTATGGTTTACCAACAGTCAAAACCACAAAAGCATTCTGCCTACAAAGATTCAAAACTTTAAAAATAGCAAAATCCCCAGGTTTTAAAAAAATACTTAAATAATTTTCAAAGAGTAACTAAAACAGTTCCTGTTAACCCAACCAGTGGAAATTAATTAAAAACCCTTAAGCAATACAATACAGCAGATAACATTTAGGCACCAGGAATAACCGGCTAGCGTGTAGGTTGAGCCATTGTCACTCCCAACACACAAATTCAAGATAACACATAAGCCTCCACATACACACACCCACATACGCTAATACAACACTTCCATAAAGTGGCAGAACATTGCACAAACGCGGGCACACATTCACTCGGCTAATTAAATGTTCCATCAAACACATGCTGTACTGTAAAGTATACATAATTTATACAGGGGCACACATTTATAATGCATTTTGTGTCTTGGTAGTACAGTTAGACTCTTCTGAGTCACCTGCTTGGGTTTGAGCCCGCTACCTCGCACTACCACAGACTGCTGTCGACTCCTAACAGGGTGACCCATTTACTGTCAGCATAGTCTCCATATTCAATACCTCCCTTTAAAAATCCTACTACCTACACACACACACACACACACACACACACACACACACACACACACACACACACACACACACACACACACACACACACACACACACACACACACACACACACACACGCGCGCTCTCCCTCTGCCACCCTTTTTCTCTTTTGCCCTCCTTCCAGCTGAGAAAAGTAAAAATAAACTGCTCTCTCGCAGCAAAGCTAAAAAGCTTTCATTGCCATGGTCTGATTCTCTGGCTTTATGTGTGAAAATGAATCCTCCACAACTGTTATATAAGTGGGAAACGTGTCACATGTCACTTCTTAGTAAGTTGGTGCCATAGAAAGGGTTTAACATTATCACACTTTGACAGCTGGTATCTTCATTTCTTTGGTATTGTTGGGAATATAATATGTGGTGCAATAAACCGTAGAAAAGAAAAGAGATTGAAATGAAAAAATGTATGAATTGGTGTTGTTGACCTTGGTTTATATGTTGTTATCAAGCATTAAAACATATTGTTATTCAGAAACATTTGACACACTACATAATTTCTTTACTGATTAAGTAGCCCTAAACTTTCATTTCTCAGTGGTTGAACACTCTCACACATTTACTTGTGCTTTTATTACAAAGAATATAAATTATAATTACTATTAATTGCCTCTCTCTCCAAAGTTAGCAGCAAACCAAGTCATTTTTATATGTGTTCCTTTCGTGACTAGTGTTGATATGGAGAAACATTTTCTTAGGCAGCTTTACACAAAGACCTTAATCAGAGAACAAACACTTTACAGACACATGTTAATCTTTGAAAGACAAGAGAAATGTGACAACAAATGCCCATGTTTAGTCGCTTTCAGTTTGCATTTTAACACGTCTGATCATGCAGATTGTGGTTTACCGTTTAATCTGTCTCTGCTGGGGTTGCAACTTCCTCTCTAACCCTCATGTTCTGCTAACCACCTCGTTCATGTCTCAAGAACGCAAGTGATTGCATATTTAGAGTTCTCACTCAATGTATATAATTTATGGCTCACTTGAAATGTTCATGAAGTGTAGCGTTGAGAAAACTTGGTCAAGTGAAAGGGCCTGAAATGAACGAAACATGCCAACATGGCGTGCGGGGACCACAGGGCAAACGCCCAGCACTCACAGTACTCACATAATGAATCAAGCCATTTTAGTTTCATTTCCCATTCAGCTGTCACGCAATGTAAGCAGTAACTACCCAGATTTGTTTGCTTCCAATTACATCTTTGAATTCTAAACATACTTGGGTTAGCGTAGGAAACAATAATAAAAATAGCCATTTTGAATACTCTCTAAGAAACACATAAGGGTAAAAGCAGCATTAAATATTTAAAAATGTCCTTTTCCTCTCGTTGACTTCGCTGCGACTGTCACTCCTCCCACATTAGTCCTCTCTCGCTCTCGTGTGGAGTGAGGTGTTTTTCACAAATATATTATGTTCATAAATGAGAGAGAATGATACAGAATTAGACAAAAAATATGTTATGTTATGCAGTCAAAGCTGAACCTATTACTCTATCCACTCAGATTATTCTTCACTACAGAACATTTTATAATGAACGTTCCTCCAAGTGGCTTAGTTTGGAAGAGAGAAAGTATTTATTTATAAACTCTGAGAAGCCTTTACTTTGTCTAAAATAATTGTTCAAGTCTTCTCTTCTCTTTCACATCGAGACAGTTGCATCATAATCACTTCAAATGGAAAATGTCTGGCATTGGTTCTTTAATTTTAATTTTTGTGATATATTACATGACATAACAATGTCATTATCAAAAGGAATGTGGGAATACTTTCTCCAAAATAATTTGTGAGTTTAAGGCAAAAAGGCCCTAGTTTTTTGTTTCTGTTCTTAATGACAGTACAGATACTCACTTAACTGAATAGTTTCCCCTCTCATATCTGTTCTAATCTATTTATTTTATTTTGTCAAGAACAGTTTGGAACAATTCGTTTGTCCGATGTGTCACACCCAATCCTACGCCGATTGTTGATGGTTAATTTGAACAGTGATGGATTTTTTCATTCAGATTAACCTTTTCATGACTTTATTAACCAGGATGTGTTGATTGTTTATCTATCCTTGTTCCGCTTTCTTTTCACAGCTATGTAAAAAACAGCAAGAAGAGGAAGATAATACACAACCGCATTATATCGACAGTATATTTCAGCTTGTTTTCAAACTGTTAAATGAAACAGTACTTTAACATTGGTATGCACGTTTTAGACTCAAGCTAGCAAGCAATTTGGTGTTAGCCATTATAATTGACCATTGTTGATGAGATTTACAAACAAATAAAATATGCTAGTGACAGTAAGGAAGGAAAGAGGTTATCTAGTTATTTGTTGCCAATTGCATTTTTCCGAGAGAATGAGTACTTGTACTACTTCTCTTATGACTATAAACCCAATGTAACTTAAATATTAGGCATCCTCTACCTATTTTAGTTTTTCAATTTAGGTTGCAACTTAAACATTTTCCATATAGATGATTGTGTCGATGACGTTCTCTATTAATTGATTAAAATGGCCATCACCAATTATCCTGCCCTTTGATTGTATTATGTATCCGACCAAGAGTTAAAAAACAAAGAACAAGTAGCCAATCCTTGAAACTGTAACAGACACAAAGATGGCAATTTTTGCTTGAAAATTGACTGATTAATCCAGTCTACATATTTTATCAACGTATGATTTTAACATCTCAAAATGAACTATGACACAAAGACTTTTAGAATAATGCTAACATAAATATTGTCATACAAATATCAATAACAGAAATGAGAAATCTCTAAAAGTCTTACCTTATGCCTGCACTTGAGCACCACTCCATATGCTCCTGGAAAAAAGAAAAAAACAAACAAACATGTTCGTAAAAAATAGTTGAGAATTCTGGCTAAACAACAGTTAGTAGGTGAGGTGGACGCACTCTCCCACACACTCCACACACACACACACACACACACACACACACACACACACACACACACACACACACACACACACACACACACACACACACACACACACACACACACACACACACACACACACACACACACACACACACACACACACACACACACACACACACACACACACACCTGTATTTCACTAAGAGGTCAGGTCTATGTTGGGCCTGTGTTTCAGGCATGTCAGACAGACTTGCATTGGTTGTAAGTACATTTTCTTTGCAAACTGCTTTTGTTTCCACTCAAATCACACACGAAACATAATGAGGTCCAGTCTCAGTTGTAGCTGTTTCAGTTTAAATGTTTAATTTAACCGGGGACCAAGAAACAACTAATTGTCCGACATGTTTACACCAACAGTGATGACATAAAAGTAAAGTGCAGTTTTTCAGGACTACATTCTTTGTATTATGAGAAATAATTGCCTCCTTTAATTGCAGCTCTCATGTGTCATACTTTTTGATTAATTTATCCTGACAAGCACTGTTGTAGATCGCAGTTAGTGAGAATTATCTACAGAACAATAAACACTTGGTTACTCTGACTTCTCACATTAAAGTAAAGCCAGGGATATATGTCAGCCTGACTCACTGAAATAAGCTAAGATGAAATCATTCCTGCGTTGTTTAATGTGTCAAGGTCTTATACTACTACTCAATCATCATTGGCAGAAAGATTAGTTGTTTTCTCATTTATTTACCAATTACCAATTTGGTTACTCAAGCAAATTTGACCTTTTTTGTTATTCTGCAAAACACATAAGCACACATTTACAGAAACAAACAACGCAAACCATCTGGGGTTATGCTCATGACCTCTGAACTTTCATGTTTTCCTGAGAGTGTAAAAGTTAATAAAGGTCTGGTCTCTCATCAAAGAAACTCAGAGCAGGTACTGGTGAGTGATGACTGATGACTTTGTTTCCACACTGATAAAATTGTCTAACAAGCATAATCAAGAGACAGTGAAGATTCTTAGTCAAATCTGCTAGATATAATGCAGGGAAAAATAGAAATAAGGCCCTGGTAAATATAAGCCTGTTTCCGATAGCCTGGTTCTATCAGCAGTCCAGGAAAATAATGGCTCGGGAAAATATTTGAGAAAATGTAGCAAACAACTTATTAATTCTGTAATTTCCCTTGTGAGGTCAGACATGGTTACATACCACTCAAACGTCTGCAAACCTTTCAGGCCACAAACTCCAACAATATCCCTCAGAATTGTGATAAAATGATCAGGACATGCCGGAGATATAACATCTGACAACTGTGATGTGCAGGTTTCAACTATACAATGCAAACTGAAACAACCCCACACCCAAATCAGCATTAAAGCGCACACCGTGGATATATGACCTTATCTGATCACCAACCTCAGAGTTGAAAGTTAACAACGCACATTCTCCTCACGTTCCACAAACATGCTGTCAAATATGCTGTGTAAAAACACCCACCTTCTCCCACAATGCCAAGGACTTCAAACTTATTCATCACATCACCGAGGGTGGGGGCTCCTCTAGCAGGTGAAATAAGCTGCTTTGGGTTTTAGCGCGGAGAATCCTGCTTTGATCGGCGGCTGAAGGGGTGAACTGTAGAGTCCATGAGAAACGACGTCTGACCACACCCCATCTTCACAAATTATTCTACGGCTCTTCCTCAGTCTATATCTGGCTTTTGAATGTCAGGGTTCTTTTATTTATGGATCTGATTCAAGTCGTTTCAGTTGTCTCCCTTTATTCCTTGTTGTCTTTCTTGCATTTATATCCAAACCTCCACACGGTCGTACCTGCAGGACATGAAACAAAACAGAGAAGCAAGGTGTTAATAAGATATGCTGTCGAAGGGTCACTCCAAGGTCCAACTTCCCAACATGCTTTGCACCGGCAGTAGCATGCTGATGGTATTCCTGGCACAGATGGTGCCTATGTAGGGCATGTGCATGTACAAAAAGGCAGCATTTCCTTGAGGACACATTTAAATCATGGATGACTAAAGCATGATTTCCACACAGTCATTCTCTCCCATCAGCCACACATTTTTTCTGCAGGATTCTGCGAGGGGGACAGTCTGGAGAAAATACTTTGCACAGGTCTAACTTTTAAGTTTACTGTTGGTCAATTGGACCACAACCCAGCAGACCCCCAGAGGATGAATCAAACAGGTGATCCCCCAATCCCTCAACAACTATTGGCTGGATGTCAGCAACATTTGGTATGGATAGGATGATAAGTCCTGAGGAAGTGCCTCTAGCTTGCCACAGTTGTGGCACAATTTTTGCTACAAATATACTGTAAAGGTTTTTAGAAAGATCCTAATAATTTGGTCAAACTGACGTTTCCTCTGCAGGTGAATGCTTGTGTTTTTTATAGAGATGTCTCAACAATGTAATAAATTGGCATGGTATTTGGACCAGACATTCATGTTCCCGTACAATGAATTTCAATTACTTCTGTGATCTTGTGGTTTATGACCAAATAGCTGGAAATATAGTTACATTATAAATATAATGTAGTTACATTATATGTCCACAGTACTATACAGCTGTACAGTTTTATGCTGATCAGCAAATGATAGCATGCTAACACACTAAACTAAAATGGTTAACATGGTAACATAAAACCTGCTAAGCATGAGAATGTAAGCTTTGTCATTGTTCTGAGCATGTATGCAGGTTGAAAGAGCTTCCATCTCTTTGGTTTGTATGGACCCTACCTGCACAACTAAGGATATTCCCATTATCCTAAGGTGCCTTTAATGTTTAACCCAATGTATAACTGCATTTGAGATGTTGAACAAAATGTGTAAAATATAGGATTCTCACCATTTAGATTCTTCCTTAGTGCTAATATATAGCCGGTACTTTGCTTTCCCCTTGTTTTCCAAGATAATGTTCTACATTTATACACACTCAAAGATGAAGTGTTCTGGTTTAGGAAAATAAAAAGACTCAGAACAATTATATCCTAAGATCTCCTCCTGTCACACAGCCAAAAACTGGCCACAATTATGAAATACCTCTTTTGTAATGTGAATGTTGTTGGACTGGACCCATCAAAGCTTCTCGCAGTAGCAGTCCAACTTCATTTGTTTAACACTTGATATTCAGCAGTGCAAAAACAACACAAATGTTGATTTGGCTCATGTGCCTGTGTGGGCGTTTTCTATGCAGTGTACACTCCACACAGCCTTTCCAGGGGAAGTGATAAGGTGGATGATGAGGCCATCAATGGTTCGTCTTTAAGGATATGGTGCTGCCTCTGGGGAGTCATTAGATCTATACTGTCTGTATCACTCCTGAATGGGTATACACCCCAAAACCCTGCAACTAGAGCAGCCTATAAGCATGATATCCTAGAGGCAAATCTTCCTAAAAAATGGGTTTAGCACACAGTCGGTTTATTGATAAGCTGCTGCTTCTCCTTGCAGCCATCAGGCAGACAGTTGGTAAATGGAAATACCGTGAAAACGTCAAGAAAGTGCAGAACATATTGATAGTCTGGACTGAAACATTAATCTCGCAAACACACGCCTGTTGATGTGTTCATGCAAAAAAAATCACGGGAATTACTGAGTTTGGGATTGTGAATGTAATGGGCTTGTGCGTGCTCCCGTGTGCACAAGAGAGAATGTGTGTGCGTGCGTGTGTGTGAGGTGAGAGAGAGAGGATAGTAATGCTGCTCTCTCTGCATCGAAACTGCGTCTCTCTCCTCGCTGCGTTGCGGAGCGCACCACCATTCCGTCGCTGTCCACGCGTTTCTCTGCCTACACAGCAACCAGTGCATATATTATAAGGTAGTTCACGGACCATGTTCACGACAGTGTTGCACAACAGAACCCGCAAATAGCGTTTACCCATAAAGCCCTAATTAGACATCAATTCACGCACAAAAATCCATGGCAGCCCGTCCATCATTAAACCAATGAAGACATGTTTACCTGCAGATTTGATGGGTCGCCTATGTGAGGTGAGAAAGCTCAATCTGTGGAGCACACAGCATCATGCCCATGGAGATGATGATGTGGGAAGACGAAGAAACATCATGTGGAGCGACAGGGGGTGAGGGGGGTGAAAAAGCCCGGGCCTGTGCGTCGTGACACGATCAAATATCCTACTCACTCAATCTCCGGATGGGTACGAGACCAAATCTGCAGCCATATCGCCGATGACAGGGTATCCATGTACCGTCAACAATTCTTCAGAGGCTCCGTGTTCATAGTCTCCGTATCAGCTGGTTATAGCAGCAAAATCGTCATTCCTCTGAGCGACGCTGCGGACAGCCAATAAGAAAGAGGGCTGCTGCGCGTTCCAACAGTGGCTTCACATAGTGAGAGCTGTGATCAAATAAAACTTTGGAATGAAAATGCAATCCATCTCCTCATTTGGAAAACTTTAAATATGCCTGATATGAATCACCCTCTAATACCCAGATTCCACACTGTCTGTGTCTGACAGACAGTGCTGTTGCATCCCCCCTTTTAGTCAAACCATGTTGTGACACTGATTAAAAATCTTCCTGCAGCACGCCCTCACTCTCTCCCACCACCTCCCCTTCATTACTGCACTAATTGGTGAAATCAGTGTGAATTCACTCTCAGCAAAGACACTTGGTCAGTCTGTTTCGTAATAAGCAGGTGATATATATTTGTACATTAAATGCTGCAAAAATACCTCCTTAGCCATCTGTTCGGTTTTTTACCTCCACACCATCCTTTTGGCTCACTGTTGTCACTGCAACAACTGTATAAACATTATTGTGTTAAAAGCAGATTGTTTTTATCTAGCAAATTATTCTCTGACAAAAACATATATGTTTTTTCTTCCTATCCAGACAATTTATACCACAATGTAAATTAATACTTCATAATTCATCATTAATATACCTAAACCAACCATACAAGTGCATGTGTGTGTTTTTCTTTTTAATAAAATACCCTTCTTATCATGTATAATGATTAATGTTATTGAATGATGGTATTGCTGAAGCATTAACATATAAACAATTAGCTTTCAGATTAATGTTGAGGTAATATTGTCTCGAATGCAGTGGGGATAATGTCGCCTATACATTTGAGTAAAGTAAGATAAGTATACATTATTTAGGTTTTCACAAGTGACCTGTGAGGGGACAGTGACTCATCATTAATGTGTTGTAATATTGTCAAATATAAAGAGACATTTGGTATTACAGTGCAAAGCTGTAATTATAAAATGTGCAACATTTGGTCGTTTCGTAGCCAAATAAAAACATTTTCTCACCTCAATTTGTGGCACATTTGTTATTTGAGATACAACTATTTTAATATTTAGAGATCAAGAATTGAAACAAGTATTTCACATTTTGTCAGTGACCTTTTCACAAATGGAACATTTGGAAGACATTTTTCATTTTGCACCTAAAAGCAATTAAACATATGTATTGTTGTTTTGAGTAACTTTACATTTAATCAAGTCCTGTACTAATAAAGAAAGGTATTTGTGCATGCAATTAAGCCCCTGTCACACTGTCCCGAAATGTACACCCGATGGCACGAATATTGAATTGTGAATCTCGCACGAAGATGGCCCGAACCACACACGAAGGCAACATTTACATTACATTCAAGACATACAACTGCAACGAAAGAAACAAAAACAATTATGTTAAAGTACTATGATACTGTGCTGATATTTTCAGACTTTGTTCTTTACTTTCTCCGTCTTTATATGTAGAAGATATTAAGTTTTCTCCGTAATGTTGTTTCCATAGCAACAACAACTTCCTGTCAACTCGCCTTCAAAATAATATATTATATCCTTTTCAGTTTCACAGAACACAAATTGGGTTATTTACATAATATTTTTACATGATTTTGTTGTGCAATTAACAATCAGATGGACACTCGATAAAGGAAATGTTCAAATTTGGCTCTGATCGTAGCAACATCGGGCCCAGGGGCAGTTCTAGGGGGGGGCAGTGCCCCCCTAACACTGACTTCGGACCCCCTGTGGCCCCCCTAAAAATAAAAAAAAATAAAAAATGTTTATGATTAAACGATTTCTTGGCTGACGGAATAGGCGGAAGTAACGATATTTGTCATTCTAGTCGGACCCATTAGAGCAGGGGTCTCCAACACGTCGGTCACGAGCTACCGGTATCTCGCAAGCTCTCAATAGCCCCTACTTTACAAATATGTTTTTTTTTATAGGACAGTAAAAAAAAAAAACAGTTTGAAAGGGGAGTGATTAGTAAAATATGCATAAATAAAAAGAAAGAATACTATAGGTAACATAAGATAAGAATAAACTCGTTTAAATGATTTGTTATTGGTTGTGATCATATTCTAAAGATTTGNAGGCACACNAAAATGAATTTATGGATACAGCTCTCAACACTCATGAAAGAGAGCTGTATACTTTTGTATCAACAAATCTTTTAGAATATATTTGTTATTGGTTGTGATCATATTCTAAAAGATTTGTTGATACAAAAGTATACAGCTCTCTTTCATGAGTGTTGAGAGCTGTATCCATAAATTCATTTTGTGCTCAAAGTGCACCAGATTGATGCATTTAACTTCAACATTTCAAAAAATATCTTCCCGGGGGTTCATACCCCCGGACCCCCCTAGAGAAGGTTAGGTACACCCCCAAATAAAGCAGGTTCAAATAATTAAATTGCATACATTTTCTTTTAGTAAACACTGAAAACGGGTCCCACTGACCCAAACAGAACACAAAGGTAAGCATATAATAATGTGTAATGAAACAAATATCAATAACTATATTGCATTGTTTTCTTAGGTGTATGCGCAATTACTTCATACTGTCTTTGTCTTTTTCGTCCTGCATTTATTGTGCCCTCCTCATAAAATAACTGGCCCCAGCCTGGCGCCCCCAGTCAAATTGGTCTAGAACCGCCACTGATTCTCCCCCAGGAGACTTTTTGAAATACTGAAGTATACTTTGATAATACTTTTGCATGTGTTTTTACCACATGGCATTAATACTTCCTTGTAAGCAACTTTGGGAGCGGCGGCAAAATCTTTGGCATGCCAAAAAATTGCCGAAGGACCTTGCGAAGGGTCAATTTTGCCCTTCGTAAGGCCATCGTTAGGGCATCTTGTTATCATCGGTGCCATCGGGCATTCGCCCCGATCAGAGTGAGGGCGAATGCACCGATGATAACACGAAGATGACACGACTTGACAAGATGCCCTCACGAGTGCCTTACGAAGTTGCCGCTCACGAAGTTGCTGCCGGAGNCACAACTTTTCTTTCAAAACAAAGCTGCCAACTGGGGTGGCAGCTGGGGTGGCAAGGCATTTTTCTGAGGTGGCAGCTGCCACCCCGTGCCACCCTGTAGAACCGCCACTGAGTCCGCCGGTCATACGATGGCTTAAGATGCCCTCACGAATGGCCCGATGTTGTTACGATCAGAGCCGAATTTGAACATTTCCTTTATCGTGTGTCCATCGGGTGTCAATTTCGGGACAGTGTGACAGGGGCTTTATGCGTTTCAGAGGGGAAATACTGAAGTTTTTGTATCTGAGCTTGAAAGATGTTTTTTTTCTAACTGCCTTTAAATAGATATACTGTATGTAGATATACTGTAGTGTCTACTTTAGAAATCATAAGATTATAAATATGCACAACATAAAGATTCACCTGTAAATAATGCAGCAGACTACTACGTTAATATATTTTATCACATAAAACAGACTAAAGGTGGGATAGGTAATTCACTTCAGAAACACCTGTTATATTCCATGGAATGCTCTTAACATCCCGATAGCAATGAATACATTAAATGCTTTGACAATAAATACATACAAAAATGCATCTGTGGAAGCCGTAGTAGCTACTGTAAAAAGCACGACCAGTATGGCCTACCTGCCTGTCAGCCTTTCATCTCGTGCACAAATTTATCTCGTGCCCTCATTGGTCATGTGAGCGTCCGTGTGTGTTGGAGGAGGGGCTCTGTAAGGAAGTCTGAAGGAAGGGGCAGATTTTTTTCAGTTGCGTACTTTCAGATTCTAGCGCACTTGAGCTGGTTTCTCCATTCTTACCTAAATGATGCATCAGCTTATAAAGTATAGAAGAACCCCATCAGCTGTTTAGTCTGAAAGAATATGAATACAAACCTAAGAAAAGTTGTTAACAAACATTCTGGATAATGAGTAGCTACTTTTACTTTAGGTACAATTTGCTTGTAATATTTTGTGTTAGTATATACTTTTGCAAGTTTTATTCTTTTTACTCTGTTGTGTTAAAAGGATGTAAAAAAGGATGTAGGTTATGTCAACATTAATAATCATCCAATGTCCTTTTATTGGACTATAGTTTATATTGTTATTACAAACACTTAATCTACTAATGTTTCTCATTTTCATTCAGTGTTTTTTTCTTATTTAGCTGTCACTCACTCAGGTCTGACCTTCCGGTGTCTGCAGTTATAATAACCTGTGGCATTTTCACCACCCTCTCCTGCATTAAAACAGAGAAAAACACAATAAATGTTAATGTTTTCGTTTCCAAACGACATGCAGTTTATTATAACAAGCGAACATTAAACAATATCTGTTTCAATAAAACGACTAATTGACAATTTCCCATTACTCTTGTCTGTTTCTTTTTCTTTTTTTAAACCTCCAGTGGAAAATATGAATTACAGCACTGCGTGGTGGACATGCGCGGAGCTGCAGCGGATATGGCGGCTTGCATCTGATAGAAAGTGAGGAATCTCCCATCAAAATCCAAAAAGGTTGGTACGGCTGCTGTCTCATTATTACTCTGATGTGCTGCCAGTGACGGGTTTGAAGGGATAAGCGGTCATGTTAGATGCTGTTTGTCCCTGCAGTGACTCAGACAGCGTGTATAAACTGTTTTCTGTTCAGGCGGACAGCTCGCTGCGTTCAGGAGCTACGTTGAACTCTGCAGATTCCCCCTTTGCTTTTTGTTTACTGGATTCCTGAAGAGGGTTACACTTCAACCCAAAACACGTTTACGATCTTCCAGCCTTATAATGTTCCTATCACGCTCCGTTTTGTATCGAAACGTTAGCGGTGTTTAGCCTATAGACTGTATGGTTTAGCCCTGTATAATGACCACTGTCCCGCCCACAAACTGGGACCATAACGCAAAAGAAAATGCGTCACATGCCTTTCTTAAAATCTAATTTCTTCTTCTGCTGATTCAGTGTTTCCCCTCCGAACCTGCATCATGCAAATGAAAAAGATGTGTGCTTTTCATCAACCACACGTTCAATCTTAAGTCACAGAGATGAGACCTAAATGTTAGTATCAGGAAAACTGTTTCTATGAAAAACATTCTGAAATGAAAGTTTTTTTGGATATGAAACCATGTTTTAAGTTACCTCCCTGGAGGTGACGGTCTGCAGCGGGTCACACCCCTCAGCCTCCCGGCGGTAATGTGTGTAATTATTATCTTTAAATAATATATATATA